AAGGGGGATGTGCGCGTGGGTACCAGAGGGCCCAGATAATCATAATGGGCGATTCCTGTCAACAGAATCGATAAACCCATAGACTTGGCACATTGTTTATTACAAAGTATGAGGAACGAACCCTAATGAGGTGGAGACAGGTCCGGAGCCAGTACAAATTTTACACAGCTCTATGGAGGTAACAATACACCTCATTAGGGTTCCCACCAACTTGAACCTGTCTCACTTTTAAAAAACACTTGTTGGTCAATTGATCTGAGACTTCCRGATGCCCTTCTTCTTATTAATAATGCTGAAGTTATTCCAGTATATGTGTGGAGGGTAAGTGTCCCCAATCGGTCTGTCTGGAGGGTGAGACAACCCTCATGCTGKTTTTTTTACAAGTACTAAAAACTCTGTGTTTTTTTGTACTTATAACCTGTCTCAAATTTGATCCRCACATTAGGGTTTGTTCCTCGTACTTTTATAATACCGGGAATCAAAATTTCAACAGACAGACTGAGAGGAATACTGGCTCTCTGTGGGAATCTGAAATCCCAACCAATACTTAAACATGATAAGGACTACACTAAAAAGAGGCACCCATGTGACAGGCCTTTGTATTGAGTTGAGTCGTTTGCACTCATTTGTGAGCTCCATCATAAATTTTATTACTTTTGATACCACTAACTTGACCTGACTGAGGAGGAGAAGAAGTACTAAATTTTGTTATAGATGTTCTAAATTTTTGGTCTGTTGGCCTATCAAAAATAGCAATTCTATMATAACAGGAATTTCCCAATATTACTTCCTCTGATCCAATATGATATGTGTCCTTTTAGAAATTTACTACTGAAACAAGCTCAATATTACGACTAGTAGCAGGGCAATTTGAATGGTGGTTCATTTTAATTTTACTGATCTTGTTGTTGTTTACTTAATACAAAGTACTATTTCAATGTGCTATGCGTTTTAATATTGTGTGATTCTCAACACTCCTTTGGATTCATGTGAAGAAGGGATAGACTGAAGGAGACATTTAAAAAGAAGGAAGAAATCAATCAGCTGAGCACACCACTGTCAAAAAAGCTAGTAGTAGTATCAAAACATAGACAATGAAGGTCAAAGCAGTAGGTAGATAGCAATAGGCTATCAGGTACTCACCTCATACCCAACATGATCTAATCATCCTGTAAACTGCAGATTTGGTACTACTACTACTACTACTACTACTACTACTACTACTACTAGTAGTACTATTAAAAATCTAAATATTATATTTTACCATGTGAACTAGTAGAAGAGGCACTATGTGGACCAGAACCACCATAACTTCTTCTGGGAAGAATGCTCTTAGTACTAGTAGTAGTAGTCGCTCTGAGGGGTGGCGCCACACTTCAAGAGGGACTCAGTAAAGTTGAGGAGTGAACTTAGCCTCCACATCAAGAGCCCTCAGAATGAAATTAGTATCAACTGACAGGTTCCTCCAGTGGATTKCCACATAAGCTTGTTCTTCAAGTAAGACATGTGACATAGTACCCCCAAACCCCTGTTGCAGATAGTGGGGAATTACCCAATCCCCTGTGTGTGAATTGYTGTACTGGAGACAGTACCAGCAGCTGTACAAAAATAATATGTAAAGTGAACTGCACTTCTCAACTACTTTGACTAAAGGTGCTAGGCTCCAAGTGGATGTACAAACAGCATCAAACAAACTAGCAGTATCTTTAGCACATGAATGTGATTTTACTGTCAGTTGTGTCTCAATGGTCATTTTGATATGCCACTGCTTGCACATGATAGTAGTAGCAGCAAGCAARAGTTACACRTTTTTTAAGACTRTAATTATCTTCAGCACAGAGAACTCTCTCRTATCAGTCATTCTTGTTATTCAAAAAAGGTGCACTGGAATCATGTTGATTTCAATTTTTGGGGTAAAAAATAGATTCCTATACCCCTGGTGATTAGTGAAAAAGAAAAGTAATAAAGATAGATTCCTGAATACCACTCTACAAAAAATGTGATYATGTTTAATCACAAAAAAATGGGATCAAATCAGATCAAAARATTGCTGTATTTCTTGATCAGCACATTTTTTTGTGATCAGATCCTGATCACTTTTTTGCCAAAACCTCAACAGATGCTGAATTGTACCATTGGGGATCACCATCCCAATTTGTATCAGCAACCAGTACATACTTAACATGCGCCTGTTAGAATTTTCAATKGCCAAACAATTTGTGATCAATTATAATCACAGTTTGGCAATTACAAAACTCAWTTTTTTTTACAAATTTTTATGATAAAAATTGATCACAATTTTCCAACCCAATCTGCAGGAGGGGGAATCCAGGACCCAAAAATGATGCTATGAGGAAGGAGACAGGGAAACCTAYGAATCCAATTTTTCTCCAAAAAATTGAAATTGACATGGCTCCTGTACCATTGTCAATAATTTTGTTTAATAGTAGACTACTATTTACAATTATATGTGCAAAAATAATTTTTAATCACCCGCATGCTCATTTCTAATACTATTATAGATTCTACACATTCTTTACAGTCAATTGTGGAATCCAAACCCAAAAATCAGTAAATAAAAGTGGAGACACACATACAGCAGGAGGACCAACAAAAATAGGTTAGAATGACACATATAGTAGTAGTGTACCATGGGAAGTACTACTTTGAAATATTCAGTTGAGGTTGGATACATGTAGAACAGGGGGAGTATGCATACAACTAGTAGTAGTAGATGCACTTTACTACTTGGTGTGATGGTTGAATGCATGTAGTGCAAACACCTTTAATTCTTGTTACTTCTTGTTCTTGTTTGTATTATCATGGAACCTAGTAGTACTATTAGTAGCTACTACTAGTGGTATACTAAAAAAAATCTTAATATTATATTTTACCTTGTGAACTAGAAGAGGCACTATATGGCCAGAACCATAGCTTTTGGTGGTAGAAAGAATGCTCCTAGCTGCTCCGAGGGGCGACACATCCCTCCAAGGAGTGTTGATGGAAGTGCGACCAGGGGTTGTTCTGCTGGATTTAAAATAATTGTTGTAGCTTGGTTTGGAGTAAACTGGAAGAATTGACAGGAGGAGCCAGAGAAGTATCTGGTATGACTGGCTGCTTGTGTTGTTTCTTTTTGGAGTATGCGTCAAAGACCAGCAGGGCTTGTGTGACACTCTCCGGAGGTTGCTTACTATGTGGCAATGGTGTAAAGTAATGGGTAATTGGGCAGGTGTTGGAGATCGAAGCGCTTGTAGCTTGAGTGACACTYGCCAGGATCGTTTTCTCATAGGCTCAATGGTAATATGAGAGCATGGAGGTAGGAGTCTGCAAGAAGAAGGCTTCCATATCTGCTGGGAATAGGTGGGCGTGGGAAGGGCATGTCTGAGATTTCAATGCAAATAAGGTTCAAATTTTCTCCACCACTCTCTGTCGATGCTTCTCTTGTTTCTGGGAAAGTGTGTAGCCATGGAGGTCTTTGTTTTGCTGTTCCCATAATGATATGTAGGAGGTAAGAAAGAATTCCACAAGATATCCCCCCAACACGAGTGGGGAGTAAGAGCCGGAATGGAGATCAAGATCAGTAAACCAATGGAGTGAAATGTGACCGGCAAACACGTGGTGCCACCCAATCTTGCTCTGAAAATGGATAACTGGATGGACAGATGGAGGATACTTCTCTGGAGAAACTGCGCCAGTGTCTAGCCATTCAGTAAGACAAGTAGCAAGAGTGTCAATGGCAATTGGCCGGAAGCCAAGTGTGGACATCMGTTGTCATAAAGATGTAATGGTCTGCCTTCGCCATCTGAGTCGTGATAGATGAGAACATCAAAAAAGATGCTCACTATCTTCAGGCATCTGACAGAGACAGCAAGTATCATGGGTTTGATAGTTCCACCTTTTGAGAACAGTGGCAGTGGGCAGAATATYGTTGCAACATTTAGTGACCAAGACATTCCTGGAGATGCGGTGGATGGCAATGCTCAGGGACTTCCAGGCAATATTGGCAAGAACCTGTGGAGTCCACTGGTTCCTCTCTGCCAAGTATGCGTGATATTGGGGGAGCAGACATGAATCTGTGAGAGCTCTCTTATATTGGCTGGTGACAGAGCGTGATTGGATCTGAAGCACTGCTGGACAGGAAGGTAAAACTGGTGTGACAAAATTTGGTTTAGTCATCTGAGCCTGAAAATCTCCAGCKTGACTATCAGCTTCTACATTCAGTTGGGCTGGCAGAGGAAGTTGATCAAAAGCAATGTTGTCATCTTGGTGACCTTTCACCCAAGAGAAGGAGCAGGTGATATGTGGAGACTGCGTCACGGATGGTGTGAAAGATCTGTTCAATCAAGTCAAATTCTGGTGCTAGTAGAGTAGCATTGGCATAGTGGTATACTAGAACTATTTGATATCATTCTCAACAAGAAGAATACTACTAGTAGTACTACTACTAGTAGTTAAGATTTTAATGAAGAAGCTACTACTAGTAGTAGTATGTGATGCATTGACTGTGGCCAAAGAATCCACCATTTGTTCCACAAGAAAGGTAGACAAGCTTGTCCTACTGCTGGTACTACTAGTATTAATACTAGTAGTGGTACAGTACTATTGATGATACTGGTACTAKTAGTACTTGAACTAGTAATACTATTATGCTAATCAACAAAATACTACTCCTAGTACTACTGTTGTTATGAATGTATTATTGATTGTAGAATTAACAGTACTTCATATGCTGTTTTTACTACTACTACTACTACTAGTATTGATAAGTCAAATTATTCAGGTTTAGAGGATTTCATCCTCTGTTTAAATAAGAAATGCAGCAGAAAGTGATGGTTTTTAAAGTATTACTTCGTAWTGTATTTCAGATGAAGAAAACAAAATTGTATTGATGTTAAATGAAATAGTAAGTGTTACTGCATCAMAGAAGGCTAACAGGCTGCTGAAAAATAATCCGTGCTAGTCGACGATATTCGCTCGGATTCTCTTCTCCCCATGTCTAGCATCARGTTCACCCCTTGTTCTGTCACTAGTCCTCTCTGATCTGCTAACTCTCTGGTAGCCATCATTTCTTTGTTATATCTATCCCTTCTGCAACGTCTTGCCAGGTAAGTTAGAGCGGTGCTAACGGAAAAACTTCCTACAATCATAACGATGCCGATATATCTCAGGACGATCGCAACTTGTTTGTAATCCAACTCTGGATCAGCATTTATGTTTTCCTCTTCAAATGTCAAAGAATTCTCCGGTAAGTCTTCAAGTTTCTGCCCAAGTTGAAACATGAGAATTCCTGTCCCCCATAGCCTGTAACGCATTAATCCTTTTGTTATACTTTCATTCAATAGGTGCTGAATTCTATCTTCCAAAGAAAATGTTTCGTCCGTTGCATTTGATGCYTTCACTTTCTCTACTTCATTCATACCCATCTGAAGAACCTCGTAGTTCACATCCCACTCTGTACCTTGKRCGGTGCCATTAGCGTCGTAGTTGTGCGAAACGAGCACGTYAGTAGTCTCAGCTGCTAAGTATGTTCGGACAGGGTCTGTCTGCTTAATGAAATCTAACATGGACAATTTGGCAACATTGGAKAACAAAGCAGTCTCTCCTACTCCTTGTTGATAACAGACGTTTCTGAACCTATCGTCGAGTAGGATCACTTTCGCGTCGTGACACAAAAAAGTTCGGAGTGCCTCCGACACAGCCTCTTCCACAAAATCGAAATCCATGAGAGGTGGAGACCATATTAAAAACGAAAGACTGACCAGGTCATCTTCGAACGCCAGGCAACACGTTGTTAGAGTGAATGTTATAATGAGAGGGAACAGCATCCGGTTGAATGCGACTACCATTATATTCTTCAAAATGGAGTTTGACTTCAAACGTTTGAGAGGGATGTAGCAATATCGATACACGATGGATGTTGTTACTACGTATCTGGTAATTCTTGTCTTCGTGCTACGAAGGGTGTGGAAAGCGACGAAATATCTTCACTTGTCTAGACGACAGGAAAGCTCTCCGGGTACGAGTTACGATACCGGATTCCCAGATCCAATGCCCCTTTGACAAAATGTGTTCGATAGCTCTCGTAAGAATACTACCTGGTGCTGTAGTTGATATTTTCAGGTCGAAAGAGAAATTCAGTAATTCGAAATCGTGCATAATTTTTCACCAAATGGGGAAATAAAGACGTACCGWACGTCCACGTGCTAGATATCGAGTGACTGCATTAAATCCATTTTTTTGTCTCGGATCTTTTGCACGTGCTCTCTTACGTACATGCAACAAATTAAAACGATTCATACAGTAGGCAGTATGCTGAAATGTATTATCACATGGCATGCAGACAAATTGTACGTAGTGCCAGTTCACACGTAACATGGGCCCTGCGCGGCCGGCCGGCCCTTGCCTTATCCGGAAGGACTGGCTTGCATTCTTTTTTAACAGAATAAAATTCCTTGCAGAGTACGCGTATAGTTCAGTACATACGTAATTGAGTGGTCAAGAAGTAATCTTTTTTATGCACGTGTCGGACACCAGTGGTAAACTAATACGAAAACTACTAGCTAAGCGTACGTGGAAATTAGTCGTTTCGGAACGCCCCTAGTACTAGTACTAGTACTAGTATGATGTTTGTTAATAGCCAGAAGAATCAAGAAGGTGAAAAAGGTGAGGGACAACAACAAGCAATAAGCCACTAACAAGAACAAGAAAGAAAGGATCTCTCATGTCAATAATCRATTGATTGTTGAGGAGACATTGCAAAGGCATCATTCTTTGCACCTCCTGCTGTGACGTAGTACTAGTAGTACTACTAGTAGTACTTGTTCAGTACTACGGACCCAGTTCTTCCACCAGGAGATAGCTTGGACGTCACTGCGGCAAGGTGGGGAGGGACTATCAATGGCGCTATCACTGCATGCAGACACAAYGTGCAGACATTGGTGAGGAAAAATTACAAGGGTAAGCAAAACAAGTGCAAGTACATGCACATTACTACCAGACACAATTAAAGTTTTTGTGACTCATGATCATCGATCATCATTGTCTGTTAAGTACAGGAGACAAAAAAAACAGGTAGTACCAGACACGTTTGGTGGCAAGTGCTTCATAGCGGAAGGAGATGAAGGAGAGACATACGTCCTGAGAAGTAGCTACAGATGAGAAAATAGTCCGGAATTCAGGTACTTCTTTGTAACAAGGATTCTAGGGGCTGTGTCCCCAAAACAAATGGAATTCAAGAGAAGAAAACACAAAGATAATCTGAGCTCCATTTTCACCACAACAGACAAGGCTTTTGCACTCCTGTTTTAATACAATGACTACGAATCATGGAATAATTCTGGGAGTGGAAAGAAAACCAGAAAGTGATTCACAGATAGTAGTAGGATAGGTAACAAAGAAGGCGGAGCTACGAGGGACGCATGCTGTTTGGAAAGTTAGTAGAAGAGGTAAGGAAGCAAAGAGAGGAAGATGCTTCCATGGAGATTGAACAATCACTAAGGGCGGCGTACAGAAGAGAAAATGGAGACGACAGGGAGGATAGAATTAATTAAAAAAGAAAGTTGCGCAAAATGGAGAAAAATTTTGATCAGAAAAAATACTGGGAGGACAATGAGGACTTAAATSAACTGAGGTCAAAGATATGGGCTGTATGAAAACCCCAACAGTATTAATTMTAACAGAACATAGTGGATACGAAAATAATGATAATAGCAGCACAAAACATTTACTTCTACTAGTACATCTTTACCAATTAGATAGAATTGAGTCACAGTGAAATATATTTGGCACTACTAGAAATAGAGGAGTTGCCTATGGGCGGCAAAGAGTTGGCATCACAGAGAAGGAATTGAATACCSCCTAGAAGAATAGATAAAGTCAAACAAATATTTTTGTGACAATACATGGTACTTTTAAAATGGTTGAGACAATTTGTCTCCAAATATGAGGAAAATAAATTTCAAGAAAAAAAATGAAACCGAGCATGAGAAAGGCCATCAAACTCCACATGAGAAATGAGTGGTGCGAGAACATATTTAAAGGAAAACGGCCAAATATTTGCGTACAAGCATTACAAAATACACGCCCAAATTTAATTTTATGAATGCAGGAAAAAAGAGTATCATAGTAACTGTTTGTGTGACGTAGTACTATCAGCAGTGGTGCTGAAGGCATGAGAGTTGATAAGTTGATGGATCCCTGCCCACTACTACTACTACTACTACTACTACTACTACTACTACTACTACTATCCATGCAGATCCCCTATTACCAGCAGTTGAGTGGTTGGGGTTGCACAGGGGGATCAGCAGATGTTGCAATAGAGAGAAGCAACAACAAGTGGTGGGCGTGTGACAGGAGCAGTCAAGTTGGGGGTGTAGGTGGCTCCTCTTTTGGTAGGAAAAGTCTGGATGTAATGGAGAGGATCCCCTATCAAGAATGCTGCTAGTAGAGCAACAAGTGTGTCAATCATGGATACTCTATTACTAGTACTACTTCTGGTATTAGTGGAGATGCAGATCCCCTATCAGTGGGGACAAACAAAGACACTAGGTGCACTTCCTCCCCTTCACACCACCATTATAGCTAGGTACTGTTTGAACCCCCTCCCCTAGTATAGGTACTGCTTGAAGTGCTAAGATACTACTAGTCTTCTTCAGTGGTAAGGAATACTAGTACTAGTAGAACTATTACTAGTAGTAGAAGCTCTTGTCCTAACCACTCCAGAATCATGAGTAGCTACTAGTACTAGTGGATAACCTCACTCATTAGTATTGTAAGTTWYKTATTATTATACASTAAGGAGCCTCTCAAAATTTTACAGAAGATACAAGGTATCTCTTGTTGATACTTGCTCTTCACTCCTACAAGAACATCAATACTACTGACAGCTATTTCCTGTTTCCTCTCTTCTCCCTACTTRAYACTTTGTAGAATATTGTTTGCCTTAGAGTCAATCGAAGTTTCAGCTCTGAATGTTGACAATTCCTCGAAGCAGTGACTTTACAGTGGTTGTTAGCTTCGTTTTRTTGTACAAATCCCCAGACTGACGAACAACCTCACTAGTGGTAGGATATGGGTGGATAACGTTTGCAACGGCACCTAGACCTGTTCCCGAATCCATGGCCAAGGTAACTTCCCCAATCATATTTCCAGCGCCCTCTCCAACAATAGAACACCCCAAAATAGCATCTGTTTTGGCATCGACACGAAATCGAAYGAAACCCTCTCTGTTRTCGTCGCAAATTGCGCGATCGTTGTCTTTGAAGTGTTTCTCAAAGACACGGTATTGGATCCCCAATTCGTCCAAATCTTGACCGTAGAGGCCTACGCTTGCAATCTCGGGGGAGGTGAAAGTCGCATACGGGATCAACAAATCCGACATTTTTCCTTTCCCAAAAAACAGAGCATTKCGGATGACGGTTCGCGCCATAAAGTCTGCTGCATGGGTAAATTTGAATTGCGAACAGCAATCGCCGACACCATATATACGWGGATTTGTCGTCTGGAGTTTATCGTTGACAATGAGACCTTTCTTAGTATCGTACTCCACCTTGGCAAGTTCCAAATCCATACCCGTAACGTTCGGACGACGACCTGCGGCTACCAGAAGCGCATCGAACTCATAGGTAGTMTCCTTCTCCATGCCCTTTTCTACAACGGTCATTTTCATCTCGGGATATCCGTTTTTGAGGACGTTGCCATTCAATTCAATTCCCTTGTATTCGGCTACAGATAGACTGAAGGAAACCCCGTCCTTGATCATTTGCTGTTTCACAACCTCGKCCATGTCTTCGTCTTCTTTTGGAAGAACTTTTCCCGATCGCCCAAAGACCGTGACTTGAGAGCCTAATCGCTGCATCGCTTGCGCGAGTTCCATCCCGATCACACCAGCGCCGATCACACCCAGTCTCTTGGGTTGTTTGGTCATGTTGAAAAATGTTTCGTTCGTCATGACAATTGGCTTTGGTTCTTTTGGGTCGGTCGTAAAAGATTTTTTATACAGTTCCTGCAATCCATTCATGGGGATCAGGGTTGGATAGCCACCGGTCGCAATGACCGCTTTYTTGAAATTCAGGGTCCGTCCGTTCACAATTACGGAGCGCTCCGAMGTGAACACAGCTCGACCGATGTACACTTCCACACCTAGACTGGTGAATCGCTCGGCGGAATCGTGGTGGGAAATCTCTGCACGGACCTTTCGAACCCGCTCCATGACTTTTTCGAAATCGATGCGAACCGCATTTGGGTCGACGAAGACCCCTGCCTCCTCCAGGCGCTTGATGTCGCCCTTGACCGAATGCGCCATATTTGCGGAATGAATTATGGCTTTTTTGCGCATTGATCAAATCAAAAATGTTGGCAAGAGACAAAAACGAAAGTTCTAGTGAGGGACACACGTGTCAATCATTCCTCATCTACAMCGTGCAATCAAGGGAATGTTATGTATTTCCCACAGTCAGTAGATACGTCCGACACACAGTATTCCTACCTTTYGATGGGACACATCCAACATTAAGGCAATCGCCTCCGAGCAAATTCTCTTCGATCATGGCAACCTTTGCTCCAACTCCGGCAGCACTGGCGGCGGTAACTAATCCTCCAACCCCCGCTCCGATGCAAACCATGTCGTAGGTTGACGACCCATCTTTACCGTTGGCTTTCGGATCCAGCCAATCGGGGGGATGGACGTGATCGAGGAGCGTCGTGTTGTGCGAGTCCATGGGCCAGACGTGGCTAGCAGTGTGGACGTCTTTTGGATTTAGTGAGTCGAAATCGGGTTGCTGGAGCATCGGCTGCAACGGCTGGTCGTTCTCGGCCAGGCCCAGGTTTTCCCCTCCCAAAAAGCTGGCCCATTTGACGGCTTGCCTGGTTTTCTCGTCGATTTTGAACGATCCCCGTTCATTTTCCCCGACCATGCGGTAAAACAAGTAATCGTCCTTGAAGTCGTGGTCGCGAAATACGTGTTCGAACAGCTTCATTTGCTGTAGCGCCTTTCCGAGTTCGACGGCATCTTCGCGGCTTGAGACAGCCTCGCTYTTTAGCAAGAAATCGACGGCCTCRGATCCCACGAATACCTGCTTGTATGTTTTGAGACGAAACGTGCGGTCTTCGAGCTTGATGTTTTGTTTGAATTGGAGGGCGATGTCGTTGAGATCCTTCCTGAATTCTTCGGTCGCACTAATTGTTTCTTTTTCGTCGGTCATGGTTGCGTCTGGGTGTATTTTGTTGTTGTATTGTATTACAATATAATGTAATGCGTTTTATTCTGAATTGTAACTYTGGAGTGTTGAATTTATGAACTATCAAGGACTGCACAATATTATTATGATTTCATCACTTKGCTTGAACAATGGTCGTCGTTACTAGTAGCAAAAGTGAAATTGAAAATTGATTCATCAACCGAACAGGAAAACAGATACGAGCACGAGCAGAGCGAAGGAATGCAAGAAGATACTGTACGTAAACTATGAAAAAAAAGCACTGTTCAGTACGTACGACTACGTACCGTACTTTATTCCTCATCGCGCTCCATTTTAGAAAAGATCGCCCGAGCAGAAAATAGTCCCACACGATTCCACTGTAAGCTTAAAAACCAAACCGTGGATGAGAACCCTATTACTACTACATTTTTAATTTCAAACGCGCGATTCAACGATCATAATTATTTTGGATKGCCTGCGTCACAAAAAAATACTGACATGTTGTTACATGTACGGGTACTACTACCTACCAACTACAGTAATTCTCAACAGAAAGAAGAAGGTCTTCCCCAAAACGATGCGAGTACGAGTAGTTGATACACCGTAAATCARCACGAATGAACAAAATAGGAACAAGTAGTACAACTAGCGTGCGATAGTGATAGTACTGTGTGACGTAATGGTAGTTCTAGGCTGGTGTCCTTTCGATTGGTCATTGAGCAGAGGAGTCACAGTCCATCATACTATTATCGTTACYTGTCACTWTCGTCAGAGTCACTAGTATGAGTATWTGCAACTGAACAAGATCGGCATCACAATGCGTCGTGTAGTAGTATGGATCATGATGGTGGCTAGACGAACTATGAATCATACAAAAAATTGAAAGTCTTTGTTACTACAAAAAACTTCATACTGTGGTATCTGACCTCACGAACTAGAAGAGGCAAAAGGGAAGTCAGTAGGGATGCACTGTTAGATTCAATGCTMTTAGATCCGAGGGGCTGCAGCACCTGCAAAAAAGCCACACGACCAGGTTGTACTGATAYACAGCATGAGCTTGTTTTTTGGTAAAGAAATGGGGGAGGTTACTGCTAGTATTCCTACCTTAAAACATTTTAGATTGCTGAACCTTTAACTACAAGGTGTAGAACTCTATTTTCATTCTAATGTTTCAATGATAGAGATATGACGTAGACGCATCGCGCCAGTAGATGCAATGAAAGGAGTTTATTGCACGAAACAMGAAAACAACATCATCACTAGTGTTGTAGTTTATACTTATTCTATCATCTGTGCGGAACTTATTAGTGACGCGTCTTTCGTTGGATGSATATTGCCTTCGGTAAGACAGAGGAATGATCACGTCGCATTTTAATTGACATCAAAGAAGTACGAATACTGTAGCTTGAAAATCCTTTAGTCACTGCATCTCCTATTACTTTTGCCACAACACTGACAGCTCTTCGTTTTTCACCTTGTCAACGGTACTTTCCACGATCTCATTGATCTCCTTTTGCACGTCCTCGATTGATTGCGCAGCATTTACAATGTACCACGGTATCTGGCCGTCTTTTTYGTCCATATCTTGAAGCTCACTGAATCTCTGTCGCACTCGTTGCTGCATTTCTTTCTTTTCGTACCGCTCTCCACCGTACCTACAAATACATCGAGATGTTTTCATCGAAAAGGAAACACGGAAGGGGATCGTGCACAGTGAGATTCAGAAGACGCAGCCTTTTCATGATCAGAATCTCCCCTCAACTTGTACGGCAATCWCAGCCACACTAGTTCCACAGCGATTATCTCTGATACTACACGAATGGATTTATCATGACGCAATACTCACCCTCCCCGTTGTTCGGCGTCTTCTTGGGACAGGTCAAGAAAAATAATGGCGTCCGGYGCGGGCAATCCAATGTCACAGGCTCGGCACCAGTCGAGGTCATTCTCGAGGCTTGGTTTGGCCGAGGAAAAAGCTACGCCCGAGTGGGCATACCGATCACAAACAATGTTGGCACCGTCGTCGAGGAGCGTCTTTCGGAGCGTCGGTGCTGCCTCCCATCGGTTGGCGCTGAACAACAAGTGAACAGCCCTGTCGTCCAGCTCCGATTTGGACTGGAGGTATTGGTTGATCAAATCCCCGACCATTGTTGTTCGGTCTGGAAAGCGCATCGCGACAGTAGCTAGGCCGATCCCGATCAGGTGTTTCACGAGCAGTGACGCTTGTGTCGTCTTGCCGCACCGATCGACACCTTCCAGAACGATGAAGGCCCCTCGCTTCTTTGGTGTGYTGTTGATGATCATGCTTCTGTTGATGAAAGGGGAACAAGAGAGATGGATGGTTGCAGATCAATCAATCAGGTSTTACTAGGCGATGTATATATTCCAAAAGATGGTAAGTGYTCGATGAGTTGGGATAGACGGGTTGATGTTCGACAACGGTATTCATTCATTGCGGCTCATATTCGCACCGACCGACAGTTACCATTCCTTCGGTCCTTCTGCCGCACTTTTCGTGAGGAAAGTTTCGTGATGAAAAATGAGCGCGCCAATGACAAAAAGTTAGTCATGATTCAACAAGTCCCGGATTGTAGCTGGACCCTACAGTGAAAAGCAAGATGCTTTATCACATTGGATGAAACGCATGATAAATAAACACCAGTAGATAGATGATAGTATTGCTATTTAGAAGGAATGGAAAAGATATCTCAACTTAAATATAAATCTCGAATCGTTTTTATACCGGTACAGGGTTCTGCGTAAGGTATAATTACGGGTGGCCTGGATTTGGCCCTGTTCCCTGTTGGCCGCCACCAAACGCTATGGGAAAATYGCCCCGCACACCAATAGGAGCTTTCTCGCTGCCTTTCACTATACTTGAATGAACGTCTTTTACGCCATTTGTCGGTCTTCCGGYAGCCTTGTCGCAAATCACCTCTGCTGCTAGCTTCCCGCTCAACACAGCACCCTCCATAGAACCAAGGTATTTTTGTAACGCAAAGTCACCCGCCATTACGAAATTGGAAATGGGGGACTCTTGACTCGGTCGGTATTTGTTTCTACCAGGTGTTGTAGCGTAGACGGATCTAGGCACTCGGACCACGGTCGACTTGGTGATCTGAGCTCCGCCATTCGGTGCTTTCGGACCAATCTCTGTCGGAAAAAGTCGTTCCAGCTCCAGCATTGTTGCGTCAATGATTTCTTCATCGGATGCTCCGATCCAGTTCCTATCCGCACCYACTGCCTCAGTGGCGGGAGCGAAAACAAGCTCCAGCATGGATGAGGTCTCGGACGCATACTCCTCGCAACAAGTGGACATGTCGGCATACACACTCAGAAGAGGACTTCGAGAAAAGCAGAGTCCATCAACGCTTGTGAGCTTCGTATCGAACCAAATCTGTATATTGATGACTGGGATACCTTCTAGCTCGGAAAGCTGTTCAAAATAAGGCATCGAAGACCAGGCTTTTGGGACTAGCCGTTTGATGATGTCTACGGGCATTGCCGAGACGTACATATCGGCTTCCACATTACTCCCATCCGCTAGCTTCAAACTCTTGACAGAGTTGTCGTCTGAGTTGACTTCGATTGATGCAATAGGCTTTCCCGTTAGCACTTGGCCTCCACGGGCGRTAATATGATCGACCATTGGTTTGCAAAGACGATCTGGCTGGTTTCCGTCAATAAATGCGGTCTGAGAACCATCCGCCTCGTTGATAAAACGATTCATAGCCGTCAAAATAACAGACATACTRAGCTTTTCGGGATCRGTAAAGTCTAATGCTTTTCCCATTGCTATGAAAATTTCTTCGTTGATTCGTTTCGGCATTCCATACTTTTCCATAAATTCTGAGACACTCAATTCGTCTTGTGCGTCAATGAATGATTGCCCCTCCAAGAGCATTGGTAGAAGACCCGGAACCATTCTTACCTTTTCTTCGAGCGATARCATTTCTGTGTTTGYCAAAATTGCGGCGGCCATATTGAACGGCGCGGGGACGCCCGGAGGAAACTTGAACGACGTAAATTTTCCTGGTAGCTCTTGCATGGCAAACGTCATTTGGTGTTCCTTCCATTGAAGACGGTCTTCGATGTCCAATTCTTCAAAAAGATTCATCATGTTTGGATAAGCACCGAAGAAAATATGTAATCCCGTTTCAACCCAATCGCCATCGGCATCTTGCCATGCAGAAACCTTTCCTCCCAAGACGTCTCKGGCTTCGTAAACGACGGGTTCGTGGCCAGCATCCGACAAATACTTGGCACACGCCAATCCCGACAGCCCCCCACCGATAATTGCAACCTTCTTTTTTTGTGCAGGAGTCGTAGTTTCGTCTCGAAACTTTTTAGATTTCTCTGCCGCTTCCCTCCAGTTTTGTGTCTTCTTTATCCGAGGTGGCGTCGGAAAGCTGTTTGTCTTGTAATTCGTTGTCGGCGCGGACAGTTCACCGGACATCATCCGCATCGAGAACGCCGACACGTCTGGGCAGCCAAATAAGGCGAGAAGAAGGACGCTATGCAGGAACTTCATTCTTGTCGTATCCTTGTTTTCTCTGTTATCAGATTAAGGTATGGGAACCCTGSAATCGATATGTCTGTTGAGTTTAGTGTTACACTCCATCTGATATGGYTGTGMATTACTGTACCATCATGAGATCATTGAAGGAAAAACTTAKTTGTCGGCTGATTGGATTTTGGTGATGAAGAGAACGGTAAAACGTCACACCATTTTAGGTCATTATCCACGATTAACGTGGACTAGTTCGACTAGAAGTAATCTTTTCAAAGATCCCAAACAAAAGAAGAAACATGATCGAGAAAATGAATCTCATCAAAATAGGAGGACATACCGGTAATAATACCTACCTATTAGTAGCGTACAACCACAAGAAATGCTTCCGGAACAAATGTGACACCAAAATTGTTGACTTCAAGTACGTACTGGTGGTACTGTACAATTTGTCAACTGTAGAAAAGTTCTGTATTTTTGTAGTTTTTTTACTACTGTATTTTGTTATGACAAACGAAGTTCGTACCGTACCGTACGGTACAGTAACTAAGATGCGTACGACGCAAAAAAAAATATCTTTCGTCTCGGGTTCGGATCTACCGTAGTACGTATCGTACCGTACCTGGTACCGTACTGGATCCAACAAAAACAACAACAATCATCATCTTTCTCATAATTCTGACACTAGCATCGACCACTCATTCATCCATCACAAATCCCTGCTATTGATTTTATATCTTGAGAAAATGCTCATGCGCAAGAACAACAAAAATGGCGTTCGAYCGACCGCCGTATTTCTAGTGATGTTTCTATTTTCACTGACTTCGGTAGTAACGAGTCGMGCTCATTCATCGTTCTCGACGTCATTCGAAACAGCATCATCTCCCTTTAACACCAATGGAAAGACGTATTTCCTGCACGACAAAGATACTGCTAGGCGCCCACTCGAAGGAAATSTCGYGAGAGAGTTGGCGCTGTTGTCAACAACCTACGGCATCGATGAATCGTGGAAGCTTGTCCCAAGAGGAGGCTGGCTCATACCCGCTGGTTACAATCCATTCGGGTATCAGATCACAGAACTTGGTCAGAAGTTTTTGGAATTCGATGGTTCGCTGGATTCCGACATTGGGCGTTTCCTGGCCTCGGTCAAAAGCCGCAAACGATTCGAAGCCATCAAATCGCAGTGGCTGGAGATTCTTCGAGTATCGAAGAAGGGACAGTCCATGAGGATCTATAAGTCACTCGAAGAGTTGATCAGTTTTTGTCTCAAAGCAGGATTTTTGGACTAATGGAATGAAGTAATGATCACACAAATACATTTAACTATAGTAGCAACGATTTTGACGTTTTTATTTTACTGTTGTGTSAAGATTAGWATACTTCATGAGATTCTACTTGGATCAATCTTTGTCGACRACATTCTGTTCTATCCTCTCGGTTGGAGTGCTAGGGACATCTTCACTGTCTGCACCACTCCTATCTGGTTCCGGGGGCGCATCCTCGTCAGAGGAACTATACTCCCAGTGTGGTGGATCGGCGGGTTTTCCCTCCTCGTTTATACTTTGATTGCAGGAATCGAATGTTGACGAGCGGGGCTGGGCACTGTCTACTATGGCGGGCTGCTGAATGTGATCAGCTGAATCTTCTTTGTCACTTGGAGCGAAAGACAAGACGTGAGCTCGGAGGATGGATGATGAATCCTTCTCGATGTCGTCTTTGTGGGTCTGAGCTGTCATTTCAACCTTATGCACGAGATGCCGAATAGTTTCCAAAACCGATTTTCTTGTTGCAAGATCTGATTCTTTGTTTTCGTTTTGGATCTCGTCAAGAATTTTCGAGAGACGAATCTTTGCCAACTCCGGTGAATAATGCTCCTTCGTTGGCTTTCGACGCCATGGTATCCCTCCACGAACCGCGTCGAAGAGGTGAAAGGATCTTCTGGTGATAACCGCAACACTCAGCGCCTCCGAAAGCTCTCCTTCCTCGCAGCTGGCGACAGATGGTCGCTCGCCTTTCCTACTAATGATCTTAGTGCCGTGAATCGGATATGGCAGCACAGTCTGCCACACAGGAAAGTAGTTCTCGCTGTCGTAAGTGGCATACAGAAGACATCGACCAAGTTGTGTCCCGATTACAACGTAGTTGTCAAACACATCGACCGCTAAAACAGATTCTTCGGTGTTGATACTCGAGTTGAACAAGTCTTGAACAATCATGAACGGTCCTTCCCAAGATGATTCACTACCGCTGCATCGATTGTCGTACGTCAATTGACAGACGTAGCCACACAGAGAGCCCACAATCACGCGAAAAGATGCGAAATGATTGTAATCAAGCTTTATACACACAAGGGGGCCGTCTACGATCACCTTTTGACTCCAAATCTCTCCAAAATGCCCGTAGTAATTGCTTTTGATGGTACCATCGCCCATAGAACGGTCTCTCCAGGTGATCAAACGAATGGTCCCATCTTGGCACGCAACCGCGAGTGTGTGCGTTGTTAGGGGAGCTGGTTCGGGTAATGCCAAATTCTCCGTTTTAGATTTTCTCGTATCGCTATGGCCTTCCCAGGAAACCGAACGAAAGTCGAGTGCCATCACCGGCGAATCCACTGAGAAATGTTCCTGGGGCAGTGCAACGGATACCAGAGCCCGTGGATCGTTGGAGGAAGGAACATAAAGGCGCAGCGTGGCATCATCCGCGCTTCCGAGCCATATTCCAACGAAGGTATTCGTGGTGGCACCGGGAATGTTTTTGCTGTCGCTATTGTTATTGTTGCTACCAGGGAATTGTTCCTGTTTCCATCTTGCCAAACATGGACAGAGAGGGCGAAAGTCTAGCAGAGCGTAAGAGGATTCGTGCCATCGGCGCTCATAGGACCAGACGTTGCTGTTGCCTGTGCCGTCGTCGTCCATTTCGTCATCTATCTCGAGGTTGGAATTTGATGAACTTCGACGCAGGGTGTACTGCTCTTGCCGTAGAACCAATCGAGCCTTTGATTTTTCCAACATCCGTGATTGGTTCTGTTTGCTCTTGTCGTTGTCACTTTCGATTGCATTGTTGTTGTTCTGATTGGACTGTTGTGCGTCGCTTATTGTTGTATTGCTTCCTTTGGAAAGTTCCGAGTGCGTCTTTCGATGAAAGCTTCCACCAGAGAGCGGTTGCATGTTGGAGGTGGCCGTTGTTCCGCTAAGAATAGACGAGCTAGAGGGAGCTCGGTGGTGGGGATGAGTTTGTTTGGAATGAGACACCGACCGTGCATCGAGCGTTGGAGTGACCATCGACGCAGTATCGTCCTTTTCAATGACTACCGATGGCGGTCGGTGTAGATTCATGGCCGTAATTGGTGTTTCGTAGTCCTGAAAGTCATGTTCTTCGATAAGATCGGGATCAATGAGGGCCAGTGCTTCGATGCGATGAACAACCGTTGCAGAAATCTCGGAACCACCGGAAGTGTCGTTTGTGTCTTTGATCGATTCGGATGGTATCTCTGCYAATTCTGACCTTTTGGCATTGATCTGCTCATGTTCTTTCTCTTCCCAATGCGAGTATCCAGCACAGGTCAACTTGGCAGAATCTCGAGGCAGGGAACGGCACAGTGTCTTCACACCGACATTTTCGCTGTCAAGTGAAGTGCCTTCCGAAATTGACACGCCGAGAATATGAGATTCGGTTGCAAATCGCATTTGTTGTGCACTCGGGATTTGTTTTTCGTGTGGGAAACGAGCCGTGCCAACGGAACCCGGTTCCTCAATGCTTTTGTTGCCACACGAATAGCATGTGGTTGATGTCGTGAAGGGCGACGTGAATTTCTCTTCGAATTCCATTTTCCATAAGCACAAAAYCTAAGGTGATTACTAGATTCCTGCTACAAGTTACTTCGAATTTAGAATAGCCAAATGCTTGGTTTCGGATGCCATCGTCAATTTTGTCGCTAGATTCTACGCTTTGCAGCAGCTAGTCTAGTCAGATTTATGGAGCCGTCGTCGATCGACGGAATGATTTGGATTCACGTGCAGTGCGGTAGAATTATGGTTCCTTTCGACTCTCCTCGTCGAGAAAAGAAAATTCTATCTTTTAATTGATGATTATGCAACAACAAAAAAGTACTGTATTCGCCAAACACATCCTTCGAACTTTGTCTCCTGGTGAGACGACTACGAGTACGAGTACCTATCATACTCGTACTCGCTCATCCCAAACGGCAGTCCGTCTCGATCGTGAAGATGCTGATGGATTGCAATGGTGGATCATTAGATATCTTTTTCACTTTTAACCCTAATCGCATTGATTGATTCGTCCAGGCAGGAACATGGAAAATATCTTCGATTTGATTTAACCTTAATCGTCCTCGTATTCAATATGTGTTCCGGAATGACTGAAGACGGAAAACAGGAGTTGCTGCCTCGTGCCTCGTGACTGTGTTAGCCAATGGATATTATCCAATGGACCAGTCCTACATACAAGTTAGAAATACTACGTACAGTACTCGTACTACTTGCAGACTTAAACCGGTTTCGAATCTACCGTACTTTYGTACTAGCTTCTCGTGAAGCTTAGAATGTCTCTACCCTGAAGTAAGGGGTTATCAGTACGGTATATCCAATCATACCTGTACGGAACACGAAACCCTGTAAATGGGATAAGCCATCATGTCGCTTCGCCTCGCAAGAACAACAAACATCGTATTTMATTGTGCTCGACGGAATACGATAAGGCAACAACGTACAGTGGCTACTAATACCATGGGTGTAACGAAAGAGATAATTCGGGAGGGGAACGGGTCCAAGCCCTCGAAAGGACAGGAGGTTACCGTCCACTGCACGGGCTACGGGAAAAACAGGGATTTGACGAAAAAGTTCTGGTGTAAGTTGCCAACAAGAGCAATATTAATACCGCACCAAATCCTGACTGTTCTAGATCAATGGATACGAATCCATACCGACAATGCTCTGACCGAACTGAACTTTCGTTTCTCGTTCTTTTTCCTGTTTTCCTGTTTTCCAAACTAACTTCGAACATACCTTCTCCTTCGTCTGCAGCTACGAAAGACCCCGGACAGAATGTCTTTAAGTTTACCGTGGGGATTGGGCAGGTTATCACGGGATGGGACGAAGGTGTTCTTGGCATGTCCCAGGGCGAAATCGCCCGGTTGACCTGCTCCCCGGACTATGCCTACGGGAGTGGTGGGTTTCCGGCATGGGGAATCATGCCGAACAGCACGCTTGTGTTCGAAATCGAGTTGTTGTCTTTTAAATAAGACGTTCGTCGATCGAGGCGATGAGCTGAGTTGCGGATTCATCACAAGAAACGAACGCGATAACTATTTGCCTGGAACGCAAACGAATCGAGTAATGTGTTGGGCAAGTGTTAAATKTTTTTAAAAAAAGATAGTATGCAAWATGGTAACAGAATATCGATCGATCACAACATGGTTGTCCTTTATTGTGACTRAAGTACATGATCTACAAATTCAAGCTCCGMRCCAATGATTTCTCTGTTGCGATCAGTGCAGCACAATTGTCGTGTAATCTGTYTGGTTCGGTTTAATCACGGAATCTRCTAGTGTGTAGAGAAATGGTTTCGTCCGAGCTRTGATCATACGGTTTCAATAAATATAGGTTGGTATGGCCCRCTAATCTATTGCATTTCAGTCTTGACAGACCCCGACATCCTGTTTCTTTCTTCGTACAGTAATGAATCTTCTTTCGTATAGTGTACAAGTACTTTTTTGCACTTCAGACCCTCTGCAAGAATAAGTCGTCATAGACAGGTGCGGCAGCAAGTTTCGTTAATGCAATCTAGTCYTATCATAGGTTTGCTTAGCTACAGAAGCCGCTGGTACAAGTAAACAAATTGGTGCTCTTAAATGACATTTRAATCATGCAATCGGACCTTCCGACAGACTTTTTGTTGCTTCGAAAGACAAGGGCGAGAACAGAATGCCATATYCATGCAAGTTAGAGTGSCATTCCATATTGTGTACTAGTTCGCTGTCATGGAAAGMAGGAGGAATCATTGTTGTGCGCTTGGGAAGCGTGGAGAAAATTTGCCGTACAGCACCATTGGGTGGTGTGCTTTGACATATTGCATTCACGGATGATGCTCGTTCTTCCTTCGATGTTGCGCAATATTGTCCAATTAGAATGCAGGGACAACTAGCAATCAGCCGAAGCGTCGCGACCTCCGGACGGATCTATTGAGTCCGGTTGGTTAACAGGATCGACCGGCGGTAAGTTCCAAAACTTRTYTCGACCGGGTGCGAGGATAGATTCGAYTCGTCATGGTTTCGAGGTTTCTTGRTAACTGGTTGAGGAATTTTCGGTAGGATGCCCCTGCTGCTGGTGTTCAAAGCGTTTCTGCGCTCGGTTGTAACGAAAGGCCCCCAACACGAAGAGGAGYTGCGTGCCAACCAAGACGTGCCACTTCCGATCCAACCGCTTGAATTTCTCGCGGTAACTCAAGAGTTTGCTCCTCCAGGCACTCATCGTTGCTATTTGTTTCCACTCGATTTATTGAGACGCACGTATGTATGAACGCGGACGGGAACGGGGACGATACTCTTCAGATGCAGGTACGGTCTGGTCACAAAAGGAAATTYAAATAGTACCGAGACCAGTCAATTGACAGAGGAAACAGAAAAGATTTTCGGACGATGTTGGTTCGTGTTCGAGGCCACGGATCAATCTGAGAAGAGGAACCGACCGACCAGAACGAGTTTTTACTTTTTATGAACCCACACGAGCCTACGAACGCATACGGTAGGAAAAGTACAGTTTCCTACTAGGCACATCGAAGTCCTCTGCGTGAACAATTTGGGGGATAAAAATATTTAGGGTTGGAGGTGAAAAATAAAAGTCGGGACATGGCTAGCTACGGTACGGTACTTCTACTAGCATTGCAGTGCAACCGATCCAACTCTCCAAAATCAGCCGTTACATCCAAATTTGACGAAAAACAATGTAGCAAGTTTCCACATTATTTTTTATTCTTGCATCGGACCATCTTCGGCGTGATCGAGAAATAAAAACATTCACGTACGAGGTACCGTACTGTTGTTTACGCTTTGTTGGTCATTGTTAATATTGCGAAGGCAGACTCTTCCTGAATCCGAAACAACCTACCCTCCACAAGCCCTTGCCGGACAAMTACCTAGGCAGAAATCAAAGAAACACAATACTCTATTCATCGAGTCTAGCGACAAAACAAAAGAGCACCATTTCTTTCTTTCCTGTGGGCCACGGGTACAAACAACAGTACTCAACAATTATCACCGTRCAGTATAGAAACACGAGACAAGACACTCTATCATGGCCAGCCGCGATTTGACAAACGCTTATTTTGATCGCAGGGCATCCGCCCTAAAACGAAGAAACGCTCTCGGAAGCCCGACCAGCAATGGCGGCATCGGTGACGTGGGCTCCACTTCGAAAAAGAAACGAGGCAACCGACTTACCGCCGGTGTACACAACGACGACAGCCATTCCCTGATGCTTATGGAGGTGCGTTGCACGCCAAAGGCGATTTTTTCTTGGTRTCGTTGCTTGTGAATCTAAAAAATAGAAGCCATAGCTGTACCTTTGTGTGCTGCAGTCGTGATTTATTTGGTTTTTATATCGAGACAATCACCGTCCAAGTGACGATCTTCATTCGGATCGAATCATTTTCCTCAACTTTTTGTGCCATAACCAATGTTATTTCGTTACGTTACATCATGCCACGTCGCGTGTCGTCATTTCTTCAAACAATACCTCTGTGACCAAACATTTCACGGTGTGTTGGACACCGCYCTACAAACTTGTGGTGCTTTTGTGCGATCCATTGAACATCACGTTTTATGTGTGATATTCGTTTTTATAATCTCGATCAAACTACAAATCAAACAAAATATCAATATTAACTGGGCAAACGTATCAAAACGCAAAACACAYGGAACACTGAAAAAYGGATGCAACGAAATTGATTGGAACAAAATAATGACGATGTGATCAATTACAATGCAGGAAGGAGACGGAAGCAGCGACGGCATTCAAATGACAAGTCTCAATAAACCCCAGCAACAAAACGAACCGACATGGGTCGGAGATGTGGACCAGGTCAAGTCGATTCTCCAGGAGATACGCCGACAAATGGAAGACTTGCAGGCCCTCCACGCTTCCCGCGTCGGGTCTGTCTTCGGGAAAGACCTGGACGATATGGAGAACCGAATCGAAAACTTGACCCGCGACATCACAGACCGATTTCGGAGGGCCGAGCGAATTCTCAAAAAAGTCGGAGCGGCCACCCGCCGCGCGGGAGGAGAGGAGGCGGCAATCGGTGCAAACGTACAGCGGAGCCTGGCAAAACAACTGCAAGAACTCAGCGTGAGCTTTCGGCAATCCCAGCGCAAGTATCTTGCAGAAGTCCAGGCACAGAAAAGCGGAGGATTTGACGGTGTCACCGGAACCACAAACGATCACTTTTTGGGAATCGGAGACCTTTCGACGGATCCGTCGGGAGGGAGTTTCTTCACGAGTCAGCAGGTTCAGGTAGTGGACGACCTACAAGAAGCGATTGAATCTCGAGATCAGGAAATTTCCAAGATTGCCCAATCCATCGAAGAACTCGGAACTATCTTYAAGGAACTAGCAGTACTGGTCATTGACCAAGGAACGATTTTGGACCGGATTGACTACAACATGGAAGCCGTCGTTGAGAGTACCAAAACCGGTGTCAAACAACTCGAACGCGCCGAGAGGGCTCAACAGAATGCCAGGCCGATGAAATGCATCGCGTGTTTGGTCGTCACTATTTTCATTCTGTTGGTCATTTTGGTCCTAAAGCACAAACGATGGGGTTAATACGACGAAATCTTAAAGGATTATTGTCGTTGAGGAACAATCCATCCATTCATTAGGCACTCACTGAGATGCGTAAATCACAAAGTACGTGTACATATAAACCTAACTGMTGAATGAAATTACTATTTTTACYTATTCAAAATTTATGGCAACGTATGAAAATACGTAGAAGAGGAAAATCTCCAGTGCATAGCATGCCACGAGGGGRAAATTAGAGGAACGATGGCCTGTCCCGGAAAGGKATGCACTTGTAGCTTGAAAAAGGMGGAGTTCGTTGAAACAGTTCTTAGGCGCACAGGATGTTGTAGGATGTAATTGCTGTATRTGTTTGGAAAGCAATACCCTTGTGAAACCCTTTTATTGCTTGAAGTGTGGTACTCAATCGCCGCCGTGGAAAAGTGCCTCGGACCAAACGGTCCAGAACTCCTGGGGAGCATCCGGGTTATACGGACCAAGGATCCCACAGTGTAGCCCGAGTTCCTCATAAAAGTTTGCATTGGAACCCGTTTTTGGTTTTAGAGCGGTCTCTGCGGCCTTTCCGTCGCTGTACAACGGATCCCCCTGGTAGTACCGCACGATGATGGTAGGGGGTTTCTTCGTCCCTTCGTCGTTGCAGTTGTCGATATTGAGACCATCGGGTATTCCTAGCAGCGGGTTGACCAGTCTGTGAAGCGCTTCCGAGGGATAGGTTTCGGTCTTCCATTTTTTCCAGGAGGTGTGATTGGAATCCTTTCGCAAAAGTTTCTCCAATGGTGTTTCGTTGTCKCCATCGTCCTTGTATTCTATCTTTTCCAGCCCCAGGTAGGCTTGCCAAGACCAACGGAGCCAGCTCACACTTGGATACGACCTTTGGTTCATGTAGTAGCTCATAGAGGCACTCGAAGGATCGAGCATGGGAGCTTGTGACTGAATAGATAGGATTCTACCAGGAAACCTTCGAAAGCTTTCGAAACCACAGACGAGGGATAAATTCGCTCCAGCAGACGTGCCGGTGATGTGGACTCCTTTTCGAATACTATTTTCGCGAAGAAAGTAATCTACAACTGAGAGKGCATCCATGACTCCTAGTGGAAATGGATCTTCGGGTGCCAAACTGTAGTCGACACTGACAGTGATGATGTCACGGGATGATTGCGATGGGCAGTTTTGAATTAGTCTTGACATGTCTTCAACTAAAATTGTGTCGTTGGGCCCACCAATGTTCATTCCACCTCCATGGAATAGTATAATGATTGGAACTTCGGGAGAAAACACTTTCCAGTCAACCTTGCCAAAGTCAACCGCTAGGCATTCAGAATCATCCAAAATCTTTCCGTTTTCTTTCAATTCGTCGGGCAACAACGATGCAGGAAAACGGACGAGTACCCCAACCCCCTTTCGGTCTTTGGATGCGACATCCGGGAGCACTGTGTCTTCGTCTATAATATTCCACTCCCGTAGAATGTTCTTTCGAAATGGGATTGACCCAGAAGATTCGGCTATGAGACCTGCAGGCGTTGCGGCCAACCAATTCTTTAGTTCCATTTTACTACYCGCGTTAGACATGCCTACCATCGATTGTCGAGCCTTCAGCAAAATTTTTTTGCATTTCACACCTCCCATCTCTATRTCTTGAAGGCCCGTCAAGTTCATCATGTAAAAGACGAAATCAATAAGAAAGGAAATGATTTTCTCTTTCGTCGTCAAGTAGGGGTTGAAAAGAAGCCAGTGAGGCTTCGGGATGTGGGACAATGATGCCATCGCGTCGGTTATTAATTTTCGGCAGTGATTGAGACTTCCTTGGTTATCTGATGCTACGCTTGAATGCACTTCTTGCTAMGAGATACTTCYATTTAATTGAAGAAGTTTTGGGCGGCGACAACTACGATAAAATACAGTACGAATGCAGAATGCTTTCCCTGACTGTTAATCCCAAATCTCTGCTTCGAAGATTCATTCYCGAAAACATGAAAAATACGAAGTAAAAGTAGTACGGTACGTGATTACAGTAGTATTACAACGCGTTGCGGATCGATTTTGATTTTTTTGGAAAATTTCAATTCCCAGGTCCCCCTTTTTTTGATTTGATTATGTGATCAATTTTTTTTTATCACAAAAAAATGTGATCAAATCTGATCACAAAATTGCTGAATTTCTTGATCACATTTTT